TATTTTGTACCAAAGTGATCTCTGAAGTTTTCTTTTTCGTTTCTAATCAGGGTCCCTGTTATAATCTTTTAAGTGGAAGATGGAAATTTGACATCATATCAACATAAAGTTTTCCTACGCCAGACATTTAGTTCAAAAAACTAGTGGATTCTAATTGAGTGATCGACTTGAAAGGATAGCAAATTCTAATCATGAGTTCCAAACAAAAAAAGAGTCCGGCAACTAACATGAAATTTTACAATAAGTTGAGGTACTAACCGTGTATTTTACGCATTTCAGTTTATAATTGACGAGTTGAACTATCAAGTCATAGTTGGTCCTGATTTGTTTTCCTGCATAAGTTGCTTCTGGAATATGGAAGCACAGATCCACAATGTTGTTGTACAAGTCTCTAGCTATCCTTTTTGTGTGCTCAGGATGCTTTCACATTGCCTTTGGTGCTTATTTATTGCTCGATTTCTAAATTGACTCAACTACGAAATGTCTGCAGGCTTTTATGAAACTCGTATTGCATATTATTCCTGGAGAGGTGCCCAAGGCTATCGCTTTGCTTCAATTCCCGACTATTAAGGTTTTCTTCTGTTTTATCTATCCACCCTTGACATTGGTGTTTCTAAACAAGGTTTTGATTCATAGAATCATCTTCAATAAGTGGAACACATTAATTGTCTGTTATCGGGATTGGGCAATAAGGATCAAAGAAGGGCAAGGGCAAGCTTTATGACTTATAATATACCCATGTAGAACAGTCAACCTTCACAGTCGATTGGTTGCTTGCTTTGTACGAAACACGTGTAGTTGTTCTGAGCAGAAATCCTATGCCATATTCAAAAATAGCTTTTGTAAAACATGTTTAGTACATTAATAATTGGACTGTCAAATTTTATCTTGTACTTCTCTAGTCACATCCTGTCTAGTTCAGTGTTTTGATACGGCAACGTATTCCCAATTTCTACTTTTTGACAAAGTAGAATGGTCCTCATTCAAAGATTAAAGGAATTGAAGTATGGACTAGAATTCTTTATGATATCATAAACACTGGCAGACCCTTTTTAAATCATGAAATTTAAATTTTAATCTAAATCAAAGTTAACAATTAATTTTAATAATATATTTCATGGAATCAATAACTGTTTAACTTTTATCAAAATTTATTAAAAATTTGATTTTAATCTTCACCAAACATGGGCAAAATCACAATAAATTTGAATTTCAATAACATTCTAATTTTAAAAATTCTCCGACGATCGTACGCTAATCGAATCTACAAATTGTTTATGTCATCTTAAAAACTTATTTCGAAAACTACATTATGGACATATCGAATAGTCCAAACAGATATCGAAAATAGTTAAAAATACGTTAAACGCGAGTCTTAAAAAAAGACGTTTAACTCGCATTTAAAAAAAAAAATCAATTATTTCATTAACATTATTATTTTTGCAATACAAATTTCTCAAATCATTTTATCAGGAAATTTTATATGGAATATATCATCAAAAAATTTTGAAATTTTATATCCGAAAAAGTTATATCTCATTTAAATTTTTGGATGCGAAATTACACGGGGTATGAATTTTTTGGACGTAAATTTTCGATTGTAAAATTTCTCCTAACTTTCTTTACAAGTTCAATTGTGCCTCCTCAACTTTAAAGCTCTGAGTCCGCCCCTGATCAAAAATAATCAACTTGTTCTTTTTTCTACCTAGAGAATAAATATGTAAATATATTTTTCAAATACATGTATTTATTTAAACTTGTTTTTAAACAGATTTCGATGATTTTAAATACAAGAATAAATAAATAAATAGTTTATAAAGCTCAGCACACACTTTTTCAAAGGTGAATTTATTCCAATTATCGAATATCTTATTTTGTAAGAAATATATATTTGTATCTTGAGTATACGTGCTTTCATATATTTGGTGCATAAAATTTATTAAAAATGTCAAATCAGAGTCAATAATTAATTTTAGAATAACGTCATCTAGCATTAATGATGCTAGGTCACCAGTGGTCAAAATTAACATGTTTAATTAAATAAATCGTGTGAAATTACATTTAAGTGAATATATCTTTTAATATTATGCAAATGACTACCTAAATTGGTGTTAAATATTAATAACGTTGAATAGCATTAGTCTTAATTTTAACCATACATTTGATGTGACGCACAATTTTTAATCACACATTTCATTTTTTTTATTAAAAATTATTTTAAAAAATTTGACAATTAAATATAAACGAATGTCACTATCACCCATTCATTTACAACCTCTTCCCGGTTAAGCTTCAGACATAGCATAGCCACGAAGGGAATCCCTTTTCAAAACAAAGCTATGAATTATATAAACTTTCCAATTCCATCAAATCAAATAATAATAAGAATCAATCAATAATGGGTCTTTTTGTCGCAAAGCTATACATTCGTTACTAAGTTCTTGTTCCTTTCTCATGAGGAATATTCTTTCCAACTCGGAATTACCAAAAAACTTTATTTTCAATCACGTATTTTAATAAATTTATAAGTATTATCAGCTTATCTATCGCTCATTTCTTTCTATTTATTTTTATAAACACATTTATAAATTACTGATGTAAAATTGAAAATGGAATCAACTTCAATGGGTAAAAAAAAAAACTTTTATAACATTTTTTTGAATGAAATAAATTAATATAGAATCAACTTTAATTCTTGTATAAAGTTTTTTTTTTTTTTTTACGTCAAATACTATCATATTTTTTTGTATTTATGATTACAAGATAACATGTATGTTCTGTAATTTAATGAAATAACTAAATTCTTTGTAAGCACTATATTTTTGGTTTCTTAATTTAAATAACTAAGTATTATAATTTTTTTTTTTTTTTTAATAACCGTGGATGTCCGGGCCAACTTGCGCGTACCTTGACTAATCCCACGGGGCCCTGAAGTTTACAGCCGAGTACTCACTTCAGTGGCTTTGAGGGGATTCGAACTGGTGATCACTGGTGGAGCAAACTCAAGGTTTAACCAATTGAACAATCCCTCAAGGTTAATTCTTGTATAAAGTTAAAAACCTAAAAATTAGAAAAATATGAATTCAAACACCATGATTTAACGCCCATTCGGCTCCCATTATTTCACATTATGACCTTTTTTTTATTTTATTAAAATCAAATTTTAATCTAAATCAAAGTTAAACAATTAATATTAAGCAATCTTTTATAGGTCTCACAACTTTTCCACCGTACATTTCAAAAACTTCTATCACAATCTACTAAAAATTTAATTTTAATCTCCACCAAACACCCACTATAACGAGAGGAATAGTAATTTTTTTTTTTTTTGGAGATGTGTGATTAAACGTGTAATATTATTTTATTGAAAAATGTGCGATTAATAAAAAGAGAAAAAAATGAATTATAATTTAATGGAGAATAATGAGGGCAAACGGGGCGACGGTGAGATGGTAAATATTTTATGAAATAGTTGCAACTTGCACGTATCCCGTTCTTATTAAGTATCTTGTCATTTTCGTACAGTAAGATGTTAAGCATACTAATTGATANTTTTTTTTATTTTATTAAAATCAAATTTTAATCTAAATCAAAGTTAAACAATTAATATTAAGCAATCTTTTATAGGTCTCACAACTTTTCCACCGTACATTTCAAAAACTTCTATCACAATCTACTAAAAATTTAATTTTAATCTCCACCAAACACCCACTATAACGAGAGGAATAGTAATTTTTTTTTTTTTTGGAGATGTGTGATTAAACGTGTAATATTATTTTATTGAAAAATGTGCGATTAATAAAAAGAGAAAAAAATGAATTATAATTTAATGGAGAATAATGAGGGCAGACGGGGCAACGGTGAGATGGTAAATATTTTATGAAAGAGTGGCAACTTGCACGTATCCCGTTCTTATTAAGTATCTTGTCATTTTCGTACAGAAAGATGTTAAGCATACTAATTGATAATTAATTAATTACGTCATCAGTTTATCATATTATAATCACAAATTCTACAAGTACGGAGGCGCTCACTCTCATGAGCCTCACTCGCACTATGTCCGTTTCTTAATTTTTACTTTTTTTCTGTCGAAAATATTATTCTTAAAGTTGCTTTGTGATTATCGATTTTCTTGGGTGCGGTTGCACGGTGTAATTCACAGTAAGTTTCTATTTCTGTATCTATACATAAATTTGTATATTATGCCCGTTGAATAATATGTTCTTTAAGTGAAATATTGTTTTAATTTCTCCGTCGAATAATGTTTTCTTTAAGTAAGTTATTGTTTAATTTCCTCATTTTTTTTTGCAATATTCGATTTTTGTGGGTATTTTCCAGATCTAAAAGAGATTTCTTTCTGAACTTGTAATTTTGATGGAATTGTTGTTTTATTTGTAAGATTTAAGCTTTAGGAGATATTTATTTTAAGAATTAGGATTATTTTCGGTAAATTCTTTGTTTGATAGGATGCGATATCTGCTTTGATTTCGGATCGCTTGTTCTCACCATTAATTTAAATTTAATTTGCTGATTTTTTCTTTATTTTGTTTTTATCATAACAGTTTGATTATCAACAAATTATTCCTGTCAGTTATAGGTAAAATTTCAGCTTCAAATTCTTAAATAATTCATTTTAGAATTACCGAACAGCATTCATTATAATACGTATTTGAGTTTAAGCTGGAATAAGCTCAGCCATGAAATATAAATCTGCTCTCAGATCAAGTTTCTGCACCCAAAGCAACATGTGTGTCTTGATAATATCAAATTGTGCTAAAATGATGAATATCTTGATTTTCAATGTGTAGCGCCATAGGCCTATCAGCATTTTTTCAATGGTCCTACTAACTGTAACTGTATGAAACATCCATTTCTCCTTCTGTTGTTTTTAACATATTGGCGTTCTTTAGTTTTTGAACTTTTGTACTTTACTATATTTCCCATATTTACATACTGCTTGCAGTTTGATTTCTCTTCAAATATCTACCTGGTTTAGGAAAATGGATGGATCATTCCAAGGTGGCACTGGTGTGGATTTCTTATTGCGAAACTACAAGCTAGGGAAGACTCTTGGAATTGGTTCATTTGGAAAAGTTAAAGTTGCCGTACATATGTTGACAGGGCACAAAGTTGCTGTCAAGATTCTTAACCGTCGTAAAATAAAGAATATGGACATGGAAGAAAAAGGTTTAGTCAGATTTTTGCAAGACATATACCTGTTATACATTCTGTTCATAAATGTCCATGGAGAAGCTTATTGTCTATATTTGTGCGATGCATCTCTCCACTATATAATGCTGTGTATTTTAATCTGGAATAGAGTACATGGTTATCGTGCAATCTTCTTAAAATGAAGTGCTTTATGTCTGTTTTTCTCTTAGCAGATTTTACTGGAGGGCGTCATATTCTTTTGCATTTAGATGCTTAACATTTATATTCTCCATTAACTTTATTTAACCTTGACGTTACATTGCTGGGGAAAAACCTGTACCCTGGTTTGCTATTGACAGTACTGTAGACCGCTGTCTTTGCAAAAAGTTGATGTCTTATGATGTAGAGTTCCTATTATATTGTTTCTACCTTTCACGTTCCAATTTTGGGCTTCTCTTCTGCCGCAATAATTAAGTTCTGTTTATTGAAGCTTTCTTCCCATATAATACTAAAGAAATTTCCAGAAATGCTGATTATTATGGTTTCATTCTTATTATTCTATATATTTAATTGTTCGTGTGAAGTTTTTGGTGATTGGAAGCCATATAATTTTGTTGTCCTTATCTAGAATGATGGTCATGAGTCATATAAAATATTTCAAAAGGCTACAGCTGCGTTTCATGTTGGGTCATCTAATTTAAAATGATGCTGGATTGACTGGATCAAGCTTATTCATCTGACGTTATCAGATAAATTGAATAGTCTTCTTGTCCTTTTTCAGTTAGAAGAGAAATCAAAATACTGAGATTGTTTATGCATCCCCATATTATACGTCTCTATGAGGTTATTGAGACACCAACAGATATATATGTTGTGATGGAATATGTCAAGTCTGGTGAGCTGTTTGATTACATTGTGGAGAAGGGTAGATTACAGGAGGATGAAGCGCGCATTTTCTTTCAGCAGGTAGAAGGCTTTTTATGTATGTATCTGCAATGACTAATCAATGCTTTGTTTCGAATGTAACAACTCTAATTATTTGCTGATTATGGCAGATTATTTCTGGAGTGGAGTACTGCCACAGGAATATGGTTGTTCATAGAGATCTTAAACCTGAGAACCTTCTTTTACATTCTAAGTCCAATGTGAAGATTGCTGATTTTGGTCTGAGTAATATCATGCGTGATGGCCATTTTCTGAAAACAAGTTGTGGAAGCCCAAACTATGCAGCCCCAGAGGTATAGTATAGAAGTTGCAATGCTGATGAAAAGATTTAGATTTACTGAAAATATAAAAAGACATGGATTAATGCAGCTTGAAAATTTGCAAGATTATGGTGCACATTATTATGTGTAGGTTATTTCTGGGAAACTGTATGCGGGGCCAGAAGTAGACGTGTGGAGCTGTGGTGTAATACTCTACGCACTTCTATGTGGGACCCTTCCCTTTGACGACGAAAATATTCCTAACCTTTTCAAAAAAATAAAGGTAGATTCAGGTTTTCTTACGGTGTCAATCATCTTGGCTGAGTCTCCAATTTCCTCAGATTCTTGTCCAAGTTGACTTCAATACAAGTTTACAAAGTCTTATTACAGATATTCTGGGTGTATCACTATATACCATAATTTCACCCCCTTTATATTATCTCTAACTGTTAGAAGCATCTATGTGTGAATACTAAACGGTTCAGCCCAAGCTGGACCTTCCTTAAGCTGCTAAAGCTCAGTTTGTACATAGACAAACCTAAAATTGGTTAAGCTTGGCTCATCTATTTTTCATGCTGAACAGTCTTTGTATGAATTGTTTCCCAGCAGAGCTCAAGTCTGTTAATTAATTTACATGACATTTGGTGCTCATGAATGGACCGAAGCTGCTTATCCTTATTTCCTGTAAGCCACATGGCATGATATCTTGCGTGGAGTCCCACCATGAATTGACCAACATGTGTTGAATAGAATTCTATTTCTTTATTTAGACTAATTTAAGGGTGTAGAGAATTCTATGTTAGCATCGAGTATTTATTGCAATTTTAAGCTTTGTTTAACAGTGTTCTGTGGTGTAACAACTTAATCCTACCCGGAGTATCATTGTTTCTTCTAAATAAAAAAACTGTTGTAATCCTCATTATGCAGTTGAACTACCTCATTCTTATTTTGTAATAATTTGTTATTAGGGTGGGATATATACCCTTCCAAGTCACTTATCTGCCAGTGCAAGGGATTTGATTCCGAGGATGCTTGTTGTTGACCCTATGAAGCGAATCACAATTCCTGAGATTCGTATTCATCCCTGGTTCCTAGCTCGTCTGCCTCACTATTTGGCTGTGTCGCCACCGGATACAATGCAACAAGCCCGAAAGGTTTGGTGGCATTAGCAGTATATATATTGACTGAATTGAGCATTTATTTGCTAGTGATTGCTTACCAAATAGTAATATATCAACATGTTACAATGATTTCTCCTCTCTCTCTTACACACACGCGCGTATGCATTCATTGTTGTCCTCCGATTATGTCCATTTTTTATTTTGAAAAATTGGATAGCATCCTTTCCTTTTATAAGAAAATCTATTTGAGGAATGTGAAGGAAGATAACTGAAAATATTATGCTAATCTCTCTTCCAGTTACATGTGTGTGGATATGCATCTGAGTCAACATCATAAAGGCCCCTCCCCTCCTCTCCTCTCCTCTCCATTATATTAATATAGTCTTTTATTTCTACTTTCTTATATTATGCACTTGATCTTATTGTTCCCTGAGGCATGGGATCTTCTTTAGTTATGGCATGCTGCTTTTAATGTGCGTCTAGCAATTTAAACCTTTCACTTGATTTATTCATTCATCCTTTTCATTGCAGATTGATGAAGATATTCTTCAGGAAGTTGTTAAAATGGGATTTGACAGGAATGCCCTTGTTGATTCTCTTCGCAACAGAGTTCAAAATGAGGTGAATTTTTGTTACTCTGTCATGTATTCATTTTGTACATTTCAAGTTCCTTATTTGGACTGTATTTCAGGGTACTGTTACATACTATTTGATGTTAGACAACCGGTTTCGTGTTTACACTGGCTACCTTGGAGCTGAATTTCAAGAAAGTCTGGTGCGCTTTTTTTAATGTCAAGTTAATAAGTGAGGCTAGAACTTGTTTCTGATCTTTTTTCCGGATGATGATTTATACATTAGGTTATGTCATCTGAACTTGTGTTTTTAATGATGTGGAATCCACAGTTTCAGTGCTTCTGCTTTGCCTTCTCTGAACTTCTCACTCCAAATTTGATATTAACATGTTCTCGATTTTTTAAATTGCACTTTTTAATAATTTAATCATTCACACATATGAATGAACCCATATATCTATAGGAATTTGGAAGTAACAATATGAATTCAAGTGAGAATGTGGCATCGCCTGTTGGGCATCATGCTCCTGGAGCTGTTGATTATCAACAATTTGGTGGAAGACAGTTTCCAATCGAGAGGAAATGGGCACTTGGGCTCCAGGTTAGTGTTCACATCCTTGTAATTATTCATTTGAGGATTGAGATGGAGGAAACATAAGGAAGAAATAGGCAGACTGACAGGCTTGCTTACTTTTGCTGTTTTATATGTGATTCTTAGCGATATATTAGGAGATTCATTGAGCAAATAGTTGTAAAAATGGGTTTCGGATTGTTTTTTTCCAGGGAGGGATTTTATTTTTTTTGGTGTGTGTGGGTTTGAAGAAAATCTAAGTCCATCCATTGCCCTTATAAAGTGTTTAAACCGGTATTTCAACCTTAAATGGCATAGTTTTACTACCACTGATCAGAGATAAGGTTCAGTTTCTCACTCATTTCATTATCTATTCATGTTCTTTTGTCCATTTTAACAGTCCCGAGCCCATCCTCGTGAAATAATGAATGAAGTTCTCAAGGCTCTGCAAGAATTGAATGTATGCTGGAAAAAGATTGGGCACTACAACATGAAATGCAGGTGGATTCTTGGCATTCCTGCACATCAGGAAGGCATAGTTGACAATTCTATGCATGGTAATCATTACTTTGGAGATGAATCTGCCATTGTAGAGAATGGTGATGTTACTCAACTGCAAAATGTAGTCAAGTTTGAAGTACAGGTAATAATTTTTAATACTATGTACATTCTTACTTGTTGGGTCATATCACTAGCTAATCATTTATAAACCAGCCAAGGCACAATTGTATAGAACACCTATAAAAGGAGGAGCAGAAGTTTGATTATCATTCCTAACTACACAAACATTTTGGGTGTTGGTCGTGGGAGGATACTTAAAACTTATGGGCATGTCAAATGTTATGCATTGAATTGGTACAAGAATAATGCTACTTGTACATAATGGTTTAGATACAGATAAGGTATCAAAAAGAGTGATGAAGGTTTTCTTTTATTTGGTTTAAGATATTATCACTCAATTATATCTCACCACATCATGTGTATACAAACCATTATATAAATTATTATGTATATGTAGCACAATGTTGGTACAGTGTGTACACACTACCTTTGTAAAACATATTGTGAATGATATAATATAGGTTTATGTGTGTATTTTTTGTCTTGTTAATCGCCCGGGGTGGGGGGGACTTAAATTCTTTGAGAATAATGCTATTTATCATCGTGATGATGGAACATCGATAATGTGGCAAATCGTTATCCCTTACATCTCTCTCTCTCTCTTATAAAAATTGAACTGCTTAGTCCCACTATTTCACATACCTGTCACATCACCAATGTTCTATCATCATAATGATAAATAGCATTATTTTTTCTCTAATTATATACATAAGCATCTTTCAATTTATATTGCCAGGGGGTTACTAAAGGATCCAAGACACCAACACCTGCACAGATAAAAAAAGAGACATTTGTACAGGTGCAATTACTAAAAGAGAGAGGAAAATTTGTTTTGAGTAAGATGGACATGTATACATCGCCAATTAGTTTAAATCTCTGATCTACCAAAGGCCAACCTACCTTTGCGTCATAAAATAAAAAATCTCCCATTTCCAATTAAATGACTTCAGCTATAGCTCCGACTGTGGAGCTGCCTGTTGAAATTAGCATGATTTGCCTGAATGACAATCAAGATATGAAACTGAGTCTTATTGTTGCTCATCTTAAGCCTGTTGTGATTTAGATGTATCACATCACTGGAAACAAGTTATATGTCATGGGCAAGTAGATTAGCCAATAGTGGACAATATTACAGGAAAAGAATCTACAATCTTGTCCATCGTACTCCACGGTCTAATACTAATCAAATGTACACTTACTGTTTACTCCACTCTTTTACCAATTAACATTTTGTTATTTATCTGTTGACTGCTTATGAATTGTTGTTTAGCTTTTTTACTTTTATGCTTACAGCTGTATAAAACTCGCGAAGACAAATACCTGCTCGATCTACAGAGAGTTCACGGCCCACAATTTCTCTTTTTGGATCTTTCTGCTGCATTCCTTGCCCAGCTCCGTGTCCTCTAAAGTTAGCTCCTTTTCCCATCATGCTCTGTTCCTTTCTAAGAAAAAGTCAATGCTGTATATAAATTATTACTAATTTAAGCCCCGCATCGACGTTCATCTTCCCTCCACCTTTAATCTATTAAAGGTCAATGTCGTGCCAAGCCAATCTTTTTAGCGACTCTATATGAGTCGGGGCTTCTTGTACGACAATTTCCCCTTACATAGTTGTTACTTCTCTTTCTATGATGTTATTCAAGGTTAAAAGATTCAGGATTTTGTTCAATTCTTCATATCACTCCATGAATAACACTGTCGATTTTATTATAGCTTCTTAGTAGTAGACACCAAACATACCTAGCAGTCATAAGCACTTGGAAATGTTCTGTATTTTGACATCTGCTGTTTTATGGAAGTATAAATTAGGAAAATAATCGAGAGCTGGGGCCCCACATGTAGAGCTATGGCATATATTGCAAACTTCTATTCTTAAGGATTGTGTTGTGAGAAGGTTTTGGTGTTCGTTTTGGATGTTCTAGGAAGAGGAAAAGCTTCCTTAGAATAAATTTAAAACAAACAGATCTCCATATATGGAGTTCAGAGTTCTGTCCAAAGCACTGCTTTGATGAGGAACTGCTCAGCGGTCTTGGAACATTATAAAACGGTTAGATTATCATACCCCTATCACAAGGTTTTGCAGTGGCCATTATATTATAACTGTTGCTGAATAGTTGGATGATCTAGGATCAATCCCTCTTTAACCAAATTCAGTGGGCTCAATTTTTGCATTCTTATATGTTAATGGAATATGGATGGCCTCTCGACTAAAGGGGAAATGCAACCAGTCAAATTCAGCACGAGGGTTTGAAGGATTTGTGATCCTATTGTTCTGAGAGGAATAACTTGTCATATCTACCTTTCGTAATGTGTATGCCTAGGACTCTAACCGGGGAATATTACGTGCATGTTTGGTACGTAGTATTAGATTGTAAGGGAGTATGATAGATGGTTGTTTAACTTTTTCTTATTTAATTACGCCCACTAGTCTAATTTGCCTAACCAAAACTATAATAATGAAACTAGGTTAAGAGGTTGACGGTTAATTTCGGTATCTGCATTGCGTAATTCCGATTTGAACCCTTGTTCAGGTGATTTACTACAACTTCGTAACGACCAGTGCTCTAGATTGAATTAAAAATTGTTGACGTGAATTAGAAAATTCTAGCCTAGGTTCATGACAAGGTTTAGATGTTTAATTGTAATTTATAATTCATCAGGTAGTTAAATTTTGCAATGGCTATACATTAAGGTTAAAGAAAGCGGCTTCCCGAAGCTCGTGAGACAAAAAGAATGGAAGAAGTCTTCCCTCCATTGGTGCATTTGGTAGAGACCAATAGGATAAGGACTCAGATAAGGTTAGGAGTTAATCGGATCATTTTTCCCTTGGCTCTATATCCAAAAAGGAGTTGAGCCATTTTGCTCTCTTATTTGACTGATGCAATATTAGGTTGTTGGCAACGGATGATTGAGTGCAAAAATTGACTATTTTTTAAAAAGTTCAATGACAGAATACCACGTGACCTTCCATCAAGGAAGTGGGCAAAATATTTTGTCAATGTAGCATGATTCATCCAAAAAGAGGAAGCGAGACAAAGCAAGGTGAGTAGTTTTATATGGGGCGGATGCCTCCTAAAGAGTAATAGAGGTGTGCCAAGTAGGCTCAAGCTAAAGATTTTGCTGAGCAGTATAAGGCTGTCTGACAATGAGACTGACGGATTGAACAAAGTTCATGAGACAAAAAGAATTGTACTACACCCACAAAACTTGTGCTTACGATAAATGTGAAGGAGCAGAGTTTTGAGTAATAGTTTTTAGACTTGTTACACTTTAGTTATTGGGAAAATCGAAAGGAGTCTCTTTTCTCAACAAAACTTGTGTGGTCATTTCTTTTTCGAAATTGTAGGCATCCAATGCAGGCCTTCTCATGCTCCCTACTAATTCTACCTATCATAGATCAAAGATGGTAATTCCTAAAACATAACTTACAACTTTCATCTTAATGTGCTCTTCCATGAACAATTAATAGGTTTATACAACGTCAAAACACTATTTTTCTTGCATCTTCGTAACCCCGGAGCCGCCTTTTCTCTCTCTCTCTCTATATATAGACAAAAGACTTGTTATTCGGACTAAATCATTGTAAGCCGAAAGAATCGAGAGATCAGAACTACGGCTTGATCAAACGAGAGGTGGTAATGTCATTTTTCCATGATTCAGTTGGTACTAATTTTTCGAAATTTCTTCTAAGAAAGCTTGATAATGTCGTGAATAGATCACCGGGTTCAGGTCCACATGTAGTTGACCATTGCCCTATGTACAGTTAAAAATAAAGCTAAAAGAATGAAAGGACGATATGATTTAAATGACTTAAAAAGTCATCGAAAAGTAGGTTTTGAACTCCATTGATTAATTTTATAAAAGTACTTATTTCAATTAGAAGATGTTGGTCTAATACGACACTCTAAACACTCTTTTGAAATGTGAATTCATTTTAAAATTTAGTTTTCAAACAAAAATTAAAGTAGTTTTTTTCAAAAGCTCTTTTACAGGAAGTAAAAGTAAAAGCATTATCAAATAAGCCTCAGGACCCTTGGCATAATTAAACAATAGAATTACGTTAAGTTTACATTCCACGGTTTATTTTTTTGACATTGTGTGGGAAGTGTTGGGCAAGAAAGTGTGTTTTTTAAAAATTGTTCAATTATGTGCCAACACGTAGAACAATGTCAAAAATGATGTAAAACAAGATATACATATAACATGATTGTTAAACAATAAGGGTATGTTTGATAGGTGGGTTTTTCTAGGGAAAATGGAAATCATTTTCCATTTCCCACTTTTTTTAGTGTTTGATAGTGCTTTTTTGGACAAGAAAATTTTTTTCCACGGCAGCACTCACGCGCCTGTTTTATTCAGAATCGGGGAAAAGCTTTTCCCACTGATGCACGTAAAAAAAAAAAGAATTTTTTTTTCACATTTTGTTAATGGAAACAAATTTCATAACCAATTGTTAAAAAAAAAATCACTTTCATGGACAATTTTCATATAAAACGAAGTCACACGAACACTAAACTTTGATTAAAAAAATGATTTTTTAGAAAACAATTTTTTTTTACTTTTTGGTAATAGAAACAAATTTTATAACCAATTGTGGAAAAAAATCACTTCTATGGACAATTTCCATGTAAATTTTTGGCAATGTTAACTAATTTCATAACCAATTGTAAAAAAAAAAAAAAGTCATTTTAATGGACAATTTCCATGTAAAATAAAGCCAAACGTGAACAAAAAATTCAAAATTTCAAAATTTTTTCGAGTGGAAAATTATACCAATCAAACACACTTAATTAACAATTCCCTACAAAACAATTTCTAAGCAATTACTTTCCCTGAAAATCATTTTCTTTACATTCATTTTTCACCATTGCAATCAAACGTACCCTAGTAGTAGAAACTTATGTACCAGAATGGCAACCATAGAGGAAAGAGAATGAAACATACTATTAAAAAACCAACGTGATCAAATAAAGTTAACGAGATGTTGTAAACTGTATTTTCGATAAATGAAGAGAGTGACGACAAAGGAATTCCCTGGTCGCACCCCGTTCATCGGGGGGCCAACATGTTTCTTGCGCAGTAAAATGAAGAAATAGACGAATTGTTTTAAATCAACCTGAATCTGTCATATACATAAATGTTTTGTAAGCTTAAATTCCAACAAGAATGATTCCCCGACATTGTTGCAATTTTGTACCCAAAAGATGCCAAAGCCATAGCTCTGAATAGTTTCATGAAAATGGTGACGAGCCGGAATAACGTCCAATCTTGTTTCTGGATTGAGTAGAAAAGGGATATATAATCGTTTTGTTCTGGACATCTTTGTGACTTATAAATCTCCATGAAAAAGGGACAACTGCAAGCCTTTTAAGAGTTCGATCAAGACAAGGAGTTCATCCTAAAAGACTAGCACAGCTTTCTAAATCTGTAACTCCTACGGTAACCAGCTCGATTCATTACTAGTGACTGCCCTCCTTTCTCCGTCTTTTACTCCCCTTATCTAAACTAGAAAGAAAAAAAAACCAAAATTTTGATTGTTTAAAAGAAACGGTCTTCCACCTGGAATCAAGCCAAGGGTTAACACTTTGCACGAAGCTTTTAGGCTTGCAGATAAGCAGAGTGGAGTGTTATGCCTCTTTTCCTTCTACTGGTCTAATATGTTTCAAGTATTGTAGGCTTCTTTGTGAGGTCGAATGTGGCTATCGTCACTTTATTTCCAGCTACCACAATCTGGCAGCTTTTGCTACTTCTGCCCCGGCTATACAACACATTGGATTGATTGTATTTCTCCTCTGTTGTGGCGCCGTTGGTGCGTGCGTATTGTTAATTTTATGCAGGTGTTTTTACGAAAAAGGTAAAAACAAGAATGGTTCCACCAGAAGGAAAATCCAACTAAAAGATGATAACATTTACAATGCTTCAGACAGAAATGGAAGACAGACGGGAACTCACTTTCCCCACACTTCAACAGCGAAACCGTTTGAAAGTGATGATTTCACAGTCACTCCGGCTATAAGTTTTTAAAACTATATGTAGCATGATGCTGTAACTTTCAATTTTCAACAGAATGAAGAAGGGGAGAGTTGATCCTCTCACTGTTTCCAGAACATCTGACTGAATTCATGGCCGGATCTTGATATATGGTCGCAAGTTTATCGTAAAAAGAAGCTATCGTCGGATCTCTCTGATCGTGAAGATCCTTCTTTATTAAGCACTGCACAAAAAAGACAAACAGTTAGCGACGTTGATAGACCATAGTTATATTAACTCGTAAAATTCAATAAGCAGACAGATATACTATAGGAATACAAGAAACTGCACTTCATCATGCCACGATGATGGACAATATACCTCAGCAGGATAAGACTTGAACATAGGTAAGAACCTTCTCCGACAGTAACTGTTGAATATGAGAGTGAGAATCGGGAGGGGAATCGTTAAGCTGGAAGCGAGTGGAACTTTCTTCAGACCAAATATTCCAATGGCAATGACATGCATCAGTATCAAGGAAAATATCGTTGAATCATATACTACAGGCCAAAACTTTCCAGCAGTTTCAAACTTGGGAGCATAAACATTTAATAGCTGCGCCAAGACATAAAAGAGAAACAAAATCAATTGCCATTAGAACGGTTTTTCCAAGAGCCTACTTTGATTCTCAAAATCAAGTGTCTACTAATCACGAATCTACAGAAGATTACAGATTAGTATATGACATCGTCAACAACTGCTCACCTACTTTTCCATTCATGAATGATAATTAAAATTTAAGTCGATAAATGCCACTAAAATTAAAATAGCTAAAATTAAGGGAACATGAGATGTTTTACAAGGATTGTAAATCAATCACTCTCTCATAAGAGTAAATTGTAAACCAATTAAATCCTAATGCTAACAACTATTATATATTGACCTAAAAAAGAAAGAAACGAAAAGGAAGACTCAGGCTAGGAACTCAAAACATATAGAGGCAGAAGTCCAAAGCCATTAGATGATGGCGATCGAGATAGAGATAACGATAGAGTTAGAATTAGAATATGATTGCAAAGTAGAATTTGATTTAAAAAAATCTATTTAGATTTGATTAGATTAGTTCAATTATTTCAATAATGTTTTAGTTTATTAGAAGTTCTTTTAAATTTAGATTAGTTGCTCCATAAATATAGGGGTTATTCATTATAATATAAAATCTCTGATTAATAAATAAATTGATATCTTCTTTGCTCTCAATTATTCTTTTCTTGGACCCCCTCTCTCTTTCTTGTTTGTTAATAAATCATATGATCCGGCATCACAGCAATTGGTTCTCCCTTGGTCTACAACTTCTCAAATTCAAAAATTCACAAACCTTAACCAACCAACCGTTTCCCTCCAATCCATACAAACACCAGCACCTTCCACCACTCAATCCAAGCCCTATAACCACCTAATACACAACAATATTTGAACAGTGAACACACAAGAAGAATTCATCTCAGCAGCAGCAGTTTTTTCCTCTTTTCAGATATGGTCCGTTTGATAGGCATTAGGCAAAGATGGAAAGGAATTTCAATTCCATATTAGTTAGAAAATGAAAACCCACCAAACCCATATGAATTCGTTTTCTGTGAAAACAAAGAAAATATAGCTTAAAGTGGTTGTACCTTGGAATTCGATTTTCATTTCCACATTGCAATCAAACGGCCAAAGTGGAATTCGTTTTCCTTGGTCGTGACATTTTCCATGGAATTCGTTGCAATCAAACAATACCTAATATCTTTCTTTTAATTGGACGAATAAAAATTCGATATCCATAAAAACAAAGAAATGCAGCTTAAAGTGATTGTACTTTGGAATTCGATTTCCATTTCCACGTTGCAATCAAACGGTCAATATGAAATTCGTTTTCCTCGAATGTGACATTTCCCATGAAAAATGTGGCAATCAAACGGGCATTAGTTAAAAAAGTGTAAAAAAAATCTGTAAAAAATTGTAGCAGCTTATTCCCTTCTTGGTTTGTTTAGTTGATGTCTTTCAGTTTCCAAAAAAAAAAGGAAAAACGATTCGATATTAGTTCGCTGTACTACCTAAATCATACAAGCCTCACATGCCCACCATGCCCACTACCAAACTAACTATCACAACCAAGCAAGCCCTAACCCAACCAATAAACCATTACATATCCAGGCTCACCCCAATAACATACCCAGCTCAACCAATCCACCAAATATAATCTATAGCCCAATAACCCTAGCCTGATCCTCTATAACCAAGACCTATTCCTAATTACTGAGTCCATTTACCCATCAACCAAACTCATACACCCAATCCACGGCCCAGTAACCCAAACCCCAGAAATCCAACCAAAGCCCAACAAAAACAGCCTTACAAAACAGCTCGCATAATCCAAACCCAGATTAGCCCAACCTAAACTCATTGACCCAACCCAATCAGCCTCCAATCTTCATAGTCTCCAACAATTAAAGCCATCACCTGCTGCATCTGCCACAGCTGTCTGCCACCGTCGACTACTCCAATAGCTCCTACCACTATCTCTCATCGGCAGTTCATCCAATCTTCACTTCTCCAAATCCCTAACACAAAGTTGTCTGCCAGCCGCTCCAAACTCTAATCAAAAGTCAACTCCAACGACCAAATTTACTTATCCCACACCAACCTGCCATCACTGCACTCATCTTCTCCTCCTTCCACCGTTGGATACCACACAATCATCATACTGCCATCTCACCACACAAACAATCCCTCTAAGCAAAATCATACAATCACTCCAAAGTGTATTGGACATGAGTAATATGTGTGTATATTAATTTTATAGCATAAATTACACTGACTGCATCATGGATTACTAAATCCCCTCCGAGTAGTGATTGCTATTCGTGAACTGGATGTGGCTTGCTCAGTATTTGGTGATGACCAAATAATTATTCCGTGATTGTATCACGAAGAAATTGTTAAACAAAATGAGTCTAAGTGAGAAAAGAATTAGCAGGGCGAAACGGCCAATTTAGCCCAGATCTAATTATTCAGTGTCCGATGGGGGTAAGATATAAAGTTGACAAACCAAAATGATATAATTGCACAAAATTAAAATATTATTACTTTTGTGACTTTATATAATTTAACAATTCAGATTCTCGCTTTTATTGGAATAAGCGAAAATTTTGTACGGTCTCAAATCAACTTGATTGCAGTTCAATTATTGAAGCTAAAATTATATAGGTCCAATCAGGTCCCTTTGGTAGCGTCTTAAAAGTCTAGGACCTAATTACACTAATAATGAAAGTTCAGGAACTACTTATGCAAAAAGGCCAAAATAATTTCCTATACAAAGCAGGACTTGGGTAAGAGCACTAAAACTATATATACAGGTCTAGAGGCGCATGTCAAGGCATTTGAATAGCCCGAAGGTCCATCACCTGTAGAGAGAAATTGCTTTTGCTTGTTCCTCGTGTGATTCCAGTCCGAAATCACTCTAGCTCTTGGATTTGGCTTTTCTTGGTGCCCACTCACCCATACACGCAATACTTGAAATAATACCAAAGAAGGCTTGGGCATAGAAGCTTGAAGATCACGGAGATTGGAGGTTGCAGTTGTTTAGTCCGTAATTTGGAATCAGTTTTTAATCACAAATCAAAGGTAATCCCTTTATGTGATTAATTCGTTTTGATTGACACATGAAACTTATTTAGTCAGGGATGAGTTTTTAAATAATTTTTTTTTTTTATTTTACGTTTTCTTGAACTTATTTTTCAACACCAACAATATCTTTGAAAAGCTAAAATGCACTTGCTGCATCCTAGATTAAGTGACACAAAATAGGCAGTAAATCATTTTCTCTCGACCTATTCATGCAGATACAAGGTGCTATAGTTTTAAGTTTGAAAGAACAAACAGAAATATGATCTTCTAACCTGGTTACGATAGATTATGTATCCCAAGCAATAGTAACCCAATAGAAACGGCAAAATTAGGGGTGCAAGGAAGAAGTATGTTACACCAAGAAGGCCGAAAAAGAGAATCCTGGGAATTTCACTGTGGTAAGGAAATGAAGGAACCTCAAATTCCTCATCGGAACTCCAACAAAATATACTTTTTAGGGAAATCCACACAGCGGACTTCAGCTGAAAAAGTTCTTTAGATACGGTTTTGGTCCATCCTGATGTTACAACATATGCAATGAAGAATGATGCCTACAATAAAAACAGCATAAAATTAGTTTCTTAAAGAAATGCTTACAAATGAGTTAGCATTTGAAACTAAAATACCAACCTTTCTAGAATCACATTTTAACAACCATAAAACAATAATAAAAAAATAATAGTTTCAAAAAATAATAACAAAATAATTATATATCGCTCTTATGCTCTCTTAACAGGTTGAATCATTAAAAGAATAAAATCTAATGACAATACTTTGTAATGAATCTAGAAGGCCAAACTGGCAAGATAAATTTATCCAAGAGATGGGGAATGCGCGCGCGCGCGCACACACATATATCAAAACTTGAAAGGAGTCATCACGTCATTGGCAAGACAAAAGCCAACAATCAAATAAAGCTTTATAAAAGTAAAAATTTACTGCATTCAAATAACAACGTGGTGGAAAGGCGACTGTACAAGTAGTGTTCTCTAAGATCACAGCACAAGTGACCCCTACTGTATTTATCATCATTCGCCAATCACAGAAAACATGCCCAGCTATATTTTCGATAGTATTCTAGAGAGAAGCAAACATTAAAAATCATCGCATGTGCTCAAAGCAGTTTACAAACACAACAGTGCTTCATCATACCAGAAGCATTTATTGTAGAATCTTTCAATTTATTATATTTTACACAGATGTTCTATACATAGTTACTCTTTCCTCATTCATAAGGAAATTGGAAAGAGAATCTGCACTTAAGAATCCATAGCTGATCTTTCTTACTCCCCAAAGGCCAGCTTTTTTCTCTACATTCTTAAATTCTTTTCAGCATAATAGTTATTCCTCTGTTTCTATAAAACAGTATAAAAAGTAATTCAATCTTCCCAATCAAGATAACAGGTCAAGTTATTTGATGCTTTTCTAAATTACTCAAATACTAGGTCTAAAACTGAAATCAAACTTGTGCATATACAAAAATACTAAAGTACTAAATCTACTTCTATACCATACATTTTAATGGTATATTCTTCACATAGAGCAATTATCAAAGCCAGGTTGATTATCTAGTTTCTTTGCCTTGGTACCTCAATGATTCTTATTTTCAACAGAAACCATAAAGGTCTACTTTTAGTCAAAGCTTAAAGTTAACAATGATAGGCCAGCTACTAATGACCTCGACAGAGACAACTCCATAGATGTGACTCAGCTCATAACATTGCATTTCAAAAGTGTACTTAATCAATCATGTTTTTAAGACCAGATACACTATATGAGTTGAAAATTGCAGGCATCATATAAACTAAGAAATAATTCCTCAATCATGTTTTCGTAGTCATTGTTGAATGCATATACCTGTCCAGGAACAGCTACAGCTAATATTTCAGGAATTCTTTTGGGCTCAAGAAAGACTTCAACCCGGTAGAGAGCTGATCCTGACAGTACATTTGCAAAGAAGATGTTCCATACGAAGAACCACAGAACTTTAATGCATGCACTTTTCTCAATCTGACTGAGGGCAATATACCCTTGTATGGAGGATAACACAACCATGACAGGTGGCACAAAAGATAAAAACATCTCAAGAATGAGACTAGGAAGATATCCTGTAATTACTTGGCCGATAATTTTTCTGCATGCACAAGAAACCTTATATTACTATGAGATCAGATGCCCTCGTTACATCACAATGCGTGGACATTGCATAAAGTAGAAACTTAAGTACGTGTGTGTGTGTGTGTGAACAGACTCATAGGAATGTGAGTCAAATTTTCTGTATATTATTTTCAGAAATAAGAAGTACTAGACATTTTAAGTGTGTTGGTGGAGCAGCACAAAAACTGAAACACAACAACTTACATGCTAAGTATGCCTTTAAGAAAAGGGAACCAGATCTCCAACTGTTCCAAATGAGTAAGACCTTGCACTATGATAACAGGTATAAGGAATAGAATAGTAATAAGAACACATGCAACAATAACTGCAAGGTTGCACATCCATTTTTTAAAAAATGATGCAGAAAAGAAGGGCCAATAGACATCCTGTGGATCAGGAGCTGGCTCAGTAATCCATTCTGTAGGCTTCACCCCTTGTTGAATGTGTGTAGCTATTGAAGCACTAAAGCGAGACTTGAAGGACACAAAAGCAGCTGGAACTTCCTATGAAAAGACAGAATTGGATAATAGTATATGAGACACTGTCCAAGAACATAATTTGGAAAGATAAATATGAATTGAGAACATCCATAAGACCAGGCACCATGAAGAAAAATGCTTGCAAGTGAGACCTCTTCCCGGTAATAGAGTTAACTGACTTTGAAAAATCAATATAGTTGAGCAAGAACTATAAAAGAATATAAACTTTAGACATGCAGATTTAAGTGAACTCTTAGTTATAAATATACTCAATCATAATTTCAAGAAAACCTACACAGCCCAGAAAATGGAGTTGCTCAAAAGCTTTTGGTTTGCTAAAAATCCTAGATGTCAGCATGTGACTTTATCATCTATACAAATTAACCAGCACCAATTTCTATCATTGGGGCAAAAGTAAAACAGATATAGCATCGTTTAGTTTATTGTGCAATAGTTTGAAATTTTCAGAATTCAAGCAATATTCTTCACTCGCGCAAATGATTATTTGATGCCTCGTCAGTCAAGAGGTATACTTAGTTCTGAGATTTGATTCCCGAATCCATAGGATTTTATTTTGATATATATGGAATTTGATTGGGTATATTTGTACAATTACCAATTTTAGCCATTTTTTCCTTGCATAGATATCCATTGTAGTTTAAAAGGGAGCAAGGCAAAAACAGGTTTTAATATGTATCAGAGCCAAAGAGTTTCTGGTGCACTATGACCCTATTCCTTCCTAGGGATGAAAGAGTGAAATTTGTTCTTATTCAATATGGATGGATGTGTAATGTGACTTCAGAGGCCGCAAGACACCCTTCTCATTCAACTTAAAGCCCATCAATTCAGAACTAGGATAAAGGAAGTAAGACTTCAGATAATGGTGGATGTAGGTGAGGGGAAACGAAGATGAGATAAAATTTAGATAGGATTATGTTTGTTTAAATTGGATTAGATTAGTTTGTATATTTTGATAAAGTTCTAGTTTATTACAAGTTCTTTTGATTTAGTTTATTTGTCCAATAAAAAGGGGCCTATTCATTGTAATAAGTACCTTTGAATTTATAAAATAAATTGATTTTCTCTTGCCCTAAATTCTTTGTCTTGAAACCCCTTTTACTTTTTCTTTCTCTTTCCTTTTCTTCTTCAATTGGTCGTTGCCAAATCGTTACCTTCAACGTCAGTAGGACTCAAGTGGCAGCTGAGCACTGAAAAATGGAAAGATATCAACTAAAAAGATTCACAAAAAAACTTGGGGCAACATTAGAAAAGAAGATGGTTGACGAGGAAAGATATCAAAAGCAAGTGGGCAAGCTAATTCACTTTTCTCACACCACGCCATCCTTTGAAATAAGTTTCATTAGTTAGTTTATGCAATCTCCTAGTGAAGAGCATATGGATGCAGTAATGAAGATTTTGAGATATGTAAAAAAGTACTCCATGTAAAGGTTCAATGTTCTCCAAGAATGATGACGTAAGTGTGGAAGCAAATTGTGATGCATAGCTGGCTGGCATATATTGACAAAAAATCAACTTTGGTATTGCAATTCCATTGGTGGTTGCTGGATATAGTGCAAAAGCAAAATTTAGGACTGTGAGACAAGGAATATGAGTGTTACGAGGCTTAGATCTTGATTATCAGATTAAAGGTGGCTAGTGATGATCTTTTGAAGCTCTATTGAGTTATAAAGCAGCTATTATTGTTTTGCACAATCCCATCAAAGACACTTGTAGAGATTGATAGGCACTTCATGGAGGAGAAGTAAGAGAATGGCTTGATATATGCCACACTGTCTCTTCAAGAAACACTTAAAAGCCAAAGTCATACTTAATTAGGGACTACTAAAGCAAGCTTTTCATTCCTTGGCAAGCAGGCTAGGTTTGATAGATATCTTTAACCCAGCTTCAGGAGCAGCATGGAGAAAGCCAACATCAGAGAAGGAAATTTGCTGTTATAGTTCTGTGATTCCCAAATCTATGGCATTGAATTCCCTGATCTATGGAAATTGATTAGTCGTATATTTGTATAGTTACCTTTTTTAGCTTAGTAAAATGCAATCATTAACATAATTGCATCATATTCATAATTACCTTTCCTGCAATTGTAGATCGTACTGTCCTCACATTGTCTTCCATATCTTCTAGCTTCTTCTCATAGCTATCAAGAAGATCAACTCTCCCCCCAAAAAGTCCCATAAAACCAGCTCGACCAAATCTTTGTTGAGTATCATTTTTAGATTTCAAGTGAAAGAGCCTTCTATGCAACTTATCTGCATTATTCTAGAAGGAATGCCATAACACATATCAGAAGTCAAATGCAATAAAAAAAATACTGACTACTACGGTCGCAGAATTTAAGCAAAATCTATAAGTCTGGCGTCTAAATCTGATTCTCTTATTCAATATAGGAAGAAAAATCTGCAGTGCCCATAAACAATTATTAAAGGAAGGTTAATATTCATTCCATGGTGTCAATTAAGAAGAAGAAAGTTACATTCTCCTTCAAAAAGTCTCAAATGTCTGAATGAAGTACTTCCACAGGCTGACTTTCATAAGAAATTTTTCTAGATGTACCATTGTTTAGCATGAAAGCACTTAGAACAATTGATTTCAGAAATATTTAAAACAGACACCATGTCTAATGTCTTTCCAAGATTAGCTCTCAATCTGGAAAACAGATTTATGATCCATTAAAAATTTTCATACTTTAATCCAATGCAAAACCATCATATAGTCATAACAATAGCTTCGACCATCATGCATGATAATGATTAGAGGAATAACCTATCAGCTACTACGCCACTCAGAGTACATTCTAAACTTTCTATATCTCCAAATGAAGCAATTTGGAAGGCCTTAGTTCTACAAATTAACGTGTACTTATGCATTGTGATTTACGAGCAGTTCAAGGGATAAAGCAAATAAACAGATGCAATATGAAGATAAATAGAGGCCCAAGTGAAAAACATTCCCAAATAATTACATAACCTTTATTAACTCTCATAATTCTCACTGTTGATTGGTCTAACTATATTAATTAATTCTTAATATTCTGGGCTTCTCTTTGAACATCTCGATGATTGAAAGCTTGGCCTGTGATGAAACTAGTTGGGTGCATGAAACTTTGTATTGAAGTCCTGAACAATAATATATAGATAAAAACCATGTTTTTGATCTCATCATTCCCAATATCACTTTCCTTACAAGTTTCAAGGCACAAAAACCACATAAATTTTATGGCATTAATAGCATAACTGTGTTCTTTTATACTGTAACTTTTATATATATATAAAAAAAAAAATGCATGCCACAAACTGCAATTAATATGTAAACAGATATGTCAAAAGAGATCTTGTCCACCAAGAAAGTATCATTTGTCTTCCAAATAAACAAATGTGTGGAACATAAATTTAGTGCAAGTAAAACGAGAAAATAATAATAATAATAAAAATGGAAGAACAGTAAACATATCATCTTCCAGAACATTTTTGATTAATATGTTAACTTCATGTAATGCTTACAATGAGCCCTTTTAGTTTGCTTGTCCGACGAACCATAGAATGGGAAAGATAAGTAGAAGAATAATATTCGGTGAAAAAGCTCTCAACACTTTCACTGAAGCTACTCCCAGAAGACTTGGGTATACTTCTAACTAAAACAGTGAACTGGTGCGGCTGAGGTTTTGATGAATAGAAATAACCAATCCTTTTACATGAAATGTAATCATACTCCTGCAGAAAAACAGTAACTCACCAACAGGTTAGTTTTTCTAACTTCACAAAAGTGTAAATAAATAAACCAGGAACAAGGTAGGCACACACAATATACTTACAGAGTAAAGATAATAGCAGACTACTGCAGAGAAAACATAAACAGCACAGAAGTGTACCCATAACCTTTGAAACACAGAAAAAAAAAAAGGATTGTCACTTCTTCACCTAAATAGAAAGATGCAAAGCATTGAGTGGATCCATTATAATTGGTACCCACGTCCAAAACTAAAAAAGTAATGATGATGAAGTCAGTATTTAAAGTTGGATAAACATCAATAACAGATGGTGAAGGAAATAGGCTAACAAGTAGAGCAACAAAAAAAGGTCGAGTGGTTGCCATCCTTAGATGTAACCTTATATGTAACTAATGACACTAGTTCAGTACCAGAAAACAAAATTCGAGTTTATTATGCCGTGTAGTTGTCACCTGTTTGACCCATCATCAACATTTGAGATACTGAATGACTCCAGAGACTTGTTTGGCAAGTCTGTAAAGTCAATATTTAGCTGATTCCCCATATAATTGAATGGAAGAAGGACGCAAATCCCGATTATAGCAGCAACTCCAAATACTCTCAAACTGCAAAAATACAGGGAAATAGATAATCCTTTATAGGCTAGATAATGTACGATACAGAAAATAAGAAAATGCATAAGAGTTGAAACTTGTCATAACATCGTGGAAAATAATCACTTTATAGAAATGGGGCTTAATCCACAAACTGTGCTTGTGGATCGTGAATTGAGGCATTCTAGGAAGTGTTCAATTTAACCAGTTTGCATCTGGCTAATACTCACCACGCATCACCAACTACACTAGAATCCTAAGACTCCATTTAGATCTTGAGACTCATAATGGAGAGAAGAATACAGCAGAAACTAATATTCCTCACCTTTTCTTTTATAACAGAACAAAAATCAAATCTAATTTTTTTAAACAGTTGAATATCAAGAGAAATAAATAGAAAGGGTTGTGTAAATTAAGAAAAGCATCCTATGCATAAGTATTTGCATCATGTTTTCTTTCAAAGTCAAACAAAGGAAAAGGTTTTCTTTGGTGTTTTCCAAACCATATTATATGATTCAAAGGGATACCATGGCCAATCACACTTGACATGTTCAATTCACGAAATATGTACGAATGCGATGCTAATTCTTTCTCCGGATATAAAATAACTTTACTTACTTTATTAATGTTGGTATTTTTCATTCCTTTTTTCTTCTAAGGGACTACTTAAAAGGTCAAAATTACGATTCCCAAGATATGCACTCATTCATCAGCAATCAAAAGGCCTGTAAGTACACACATAATCATACTTTCACATTAATTAATGATAGATTAGAAAAACGTTATTTTTTACTAACCCGAAGGTAATAATGCGCATAAAGACCACAGCGTCAAATCCTGAATTTGCCAAAAGTTCCTCTTCTGAGGGGTGCCATGCCCCTTTCACCCAATTGACATAGGGCAATATCCTTTCAAAGCTATACCCATCTCCCAGTTGGGATATCCCCTCCGAAACCAAGCGCGGTAGATAAATATTGGCATATATTTGCTTTCTTTTCAGTATAGAATACAGAACCAAAAACAGCAAGCAGAGGGCAACATTGATTCCCACTGAAGTTAAAAGCGCAGATAGAATCATTCCTCCAGAATCTCAAAAAACCTCTAAAAATTCTAAACTTCCAGAACTACCATTAACTCAAATGTCCATTCGGAGCAAAAACCGACTTTCAAAATTAATAATCCAATCAAACATCAGCTGCAAAAAAAAAAAAGGTAGCATCAGAAGCATAAAAAACCCCAAAAAAACTAGAAAGAAAGGTTAAAGTTGCTCAGTCCATAAATTATCAACAATATCAATATGCTTTCCTTCTTCAGTATCCTCGGGTGGCTTTCATATCCAACCCAGCAGTAGAATATCTAAAACACGACTTCATTTCCACCGCCAAATTAGTCAAGACTTGGGTTTCGTGAAGTCAGAGAAAAAATAAACAATAAAAAATGCGGCAGCAAATGTCACCATAGATGTAACATAAATAAACTCTCAGTATTACTTAGGTAAAGAGGAATTAAGATTTAAAACCCTAATTGAAGAAAAATGATTTGTGGAAGACTGAATCGAACCTTGGCCAAGACGATGAAGTAGAAGTTGATGCTGTCTTCAGAGTGGATTTGCTCCTGAATGTTTCTCTGAACTAAAAGCGTTTGCGGAATCTCGCTGTCTTGAAGAAGTCGCTTTTTTACAAGCTTGAATAGGGGAATTGTCGTGCTTTTGGGTTTAGGAATGATCTCTTTATATTTAAACCAAAAGCGTGGACACGTAGTTTTCACACTCACCCACACAAAGGTTGGAAAGATAATTCTGCGAATTAGTAGATAAACTTAGCTCCTGTTTGGTTGAGATAAAAATCTGGAAATTTTGATAAACTTACCCAAGTCTTCTGCGAATTAGTCTGGGAAGCTATTGCAAGGCATTGGTCTATATTTTGTCGGATATTTAATTAATTTAATTGATCAATTTCCAAATATAAACTTAATTAATTTGGTTGACATAAAAATCAGATTTTTCGTAGATTTTAGTAAAAGTTAATGAAATGTGTGGTTGAAAAGTTGTGATTAAAATTAATTGTTGATTTTGACCTAAGATTTTAATTGAATTTTAATCAAAACTAAATAGGAGCTTAATTACTAACATTGATAAGATCAATCTATTTAGTAGCACGTTAGGCCTAAAAATGACGAGGTTCAAACGAGAAAAGGCTTACGGTAGATATGTAGACACCCCATAGTTGAAGAGTCGCAATACTATTTTGATATTGGTCACCAATTAGTATTTGATTTGCAAGGTGATTTTTATTGATTCACGCGGGATTCCACATGTGTCATGCTACTCGGATCAGAGCGTAAGTTAGTGATACTTTTTGCCATCTAGGATGCAGTGTTTCACCTAGCATCAAGATGCTTGTATTGCTCTCTCATAATCACTTTTCATCGTTTAGGCTGCTTTCATTTTGTTCGTCGCTATTACTGGAATCACTTTTGCATTTTTTTTGTTTGGCTACTAAGATATTTCAGTTTGTCAGATTGTCTCTTGCATGTCCATGGATTAAGCAACAATTCGAAAGGTTTATTGAAAACTTTTACGAAATGCATTATAATACATTTTTCACTATGAGCTGTAAGAGTGTATACGAAAAGATGTGTTATTTTATTTGAGTAATGTTATTTGACTATAGTGACACTAAGCATCATTTTATGTAAGAATCGTACCCACTATATTTAATTGGTTAAATTAACAATTTTAAATCGATTGAAAGGAGTGGATGTATAGGTGCATATACCACTAAGAATGGATGGCATTTTCTATTGTAATCATAGGGAAAACTGCACCAATTACGCTTGAAGTAGTTGACATTTAATTCACGTGCCAACAAGCTACTTAACGTTATATTTTATTTAGACAGGTTCAGAAAAAGAAAAATTTGAAAAATTAGGTCCGTGTTTCCAACCTTTCAGTTAGTGCGGATGCGGCTACTCAACATTTGAAAGTGAGGTTCCAGAATCCCAATCTATATAACTTCGTGACTTTGAGCTCCCACGTAATAAAAATAATTTATTTTATTGCTAGAAAATTAAATTATTAATCAAATGGCTTGTATACTCTTACATATATATAGAATAAATTGAAAACCAATCCCTCATCATTATGTTCAGGGTTATGCTACATGTACATAATTTTTTTATATAATCTTTTACACCCCACTCACATTAGGAGGTGGGGACCACGAGCCGCCATTTATAAACCCACACGGGCCCCGCACACATTGTGAGGGGGGTACACCCTTCGNAAAACACACGGGCCCAGCACACATTGTGAGGGGGGTACACCATTCGGTACATCCGGCATTTTCCTTATGTTCAACTTTCCATCGCTTCTAACGTATGTTATATCCAGTTTAAGAGATTTATAATTTGTGATACGAGCATGAGTTGTTCGTATTGAAAAATGAAAGGTATAAAAAGAAAAGAGACGAATAGTGGATCAATTCGAAGAAATTTGGACCTCCCGATATTGTTATTCGGGGAATCGATAAGCCTCCCAAAGTTTGCGAAAATAATTCATTCCACACTTCATTACATGAGCAACATAAGTTTAAATCAACCATTCTCTATCTACTGGCCACACCCATTAACTTAAACACCAGAAAATAAAGTGAAGAAAACTAAGTATAAAACTATAGAATCGTAATGAGTGGAGTGCTTTCAATTTGGATGGTGATTCTTAAGATGTGGCAGCCTGTTTTGTTATTTTCTATTACTTTCTTTTTATATATATAATTTTAACTTACTTTAGAGTAAGAATATAATCGTCATTTTAATAAAAATGAACCTTTTAATAATAAAATTTTCGTCACGTAAGGACACAAAGTAAAAGAGATAGATAAGTTAAGGATCCGAAACCTTACTTTCAACGGTTAGAAAGCCACATGCACATTAGATGAAATGTTACGAAGTCTAATCTTAATTTTTTCTAAATATTTAGACAAAAAAATTTAGGTCACAAATCACATCTCCAACACGTTATCAACACCCACGAGGCACGATCCACCACCGCATGTTAGAAAAGTCGATTTACTAACAAATGGAACCCTTATTTGAGACAAGAATTAAAATCAAATTTTTAGTAGATTTTAATAAATTTTTATGAAATGTGTGATTAAAAAGTTGTAAATTCCATAAAATATATTCTTAAAATTAATTATAAATTTAACTTTTAAATTAAAAACTCAATATTAATTCCTATCAAATATGGGCATACGTCTGTTTGACACTAATTTTAATCACATTCTCATTTTTTTTCTCTTTTTTCATTTCAATCACACATTTTTCAAATAAAATAATATTACGCACAAAACTAAAACTTTTAATCACTCTTCTACCACACGTTCTCCCATCAATCACTATTCCAAAAATTATATTTTCATTTTAATGAGATTCAAACACACATTAAGTCCTTGTTTGAGTCCTATTTTTGAAAAAAAAAAAGTATTTTTGAATAGTGTTTTGATCTCATTTCAACCATACATTTTTCAATGAAATAATAGTACACACAAATAAAATTTTTTTTATTTTTTAACAATACATTCTTACACTATTAAAAAATGTATTTTTTAAAAAAAATAAAAATAGACTCAAATGAGCCCTAAATAAATATCTAGTTGTACCATTTTCGGTGCACTCACTTCATCAAGCAATAATTATTGATCATTAATTACTTCCACCTGTCCTTAGTTACCTCGAATCGAATCTCCATCAATTCAAGGGCATTCTCGTAAAATCAATGTGAAACCATCCAGTGCACAACGCTACAAATAACACTCAAATCACAAATCAATTCATAAATCAAGAAATACTAATCAATCAACCATGTCTTACTTTCCGAAGGGACACCGCGACGCCGACGATAATGCTGACGACTTCGACGAGTTTGATCCCACCCCGTACGGTGGAGGATACGACATCGCATTGACTTACGGCCGCCCACGTCCGCCGTCGGAGGAGACATGCTATCCCAACACCTCTGGTTCCGACGAGTTTGACTATGATCGTCCCCAGTTCACCTCCCATGCTGAACCGTCTGCCTATGCTGATGAGGCTTTGGATAACGAGTACAAGAGTTATGTACGTCGTAAGCCCCGACCAGGACCGCCTTCCTATGGGGAAACACCACCGCCGGAAGACGGATATGGGCATGATAGTCCCAAGCCTAATTATGGGTTTCAGCCTGGCGTAGAGAGTGAGTATGGTGGTGGTCCACCTGGAGGGTTCGGATCTGGAAGACCCGAACATGATCCCGGTTATGAGAGGCCTGGGTCGGAGTATGGTCGGAAACCAGAGTACCAGGAACCGTCTTCGGAGTATGAGTCCGGGATTGGGAGGAAGCCACAGTACGAGCAACCCAGTTCTGAATACGGATCCGGTTATGGACGGAAACCACAGGTCGAGGAGCCCAGTTCTGAATACGGATCCGGGTATGGGCGGAAACCGCAGTACGAGGAACCCACTCCTGAATACGAATCCGGGTAGGGGCGGAAACCGCAGTACGAGGAAACCACTCCTGAATACGACCCCGGGTATGGGCGAAAGAGTGAATATGAGGAACCCCCTTCAGAGTACGGATCCGGGTACAATAGAAGACCCGGGTCGGAATATACTGAATCTGGGGGTTATGGAAAGAAGAGTGAGTACGAGGAGCCAAGTTCTGAATATGGGTCCGGCTACGTGCGGAAGACCGAGCCTGAAGAGTATGGATCGGGTGGGTATGGAAGGAAGACTAGCCACGGGGAAGAGGAAGGTGGTGGGGGCTATGGGTATGGTGGGAGGTCAGAGAGGACTGAGTATGGAGAGGAGAAGCCCAGCTATGGGAAGTCCGAGGAGGAGGAATACAGGAAGCCCAGCTATGGGAAGTCCGAGGAGGAGGAATACAGGAAGCCCAGCTATGAAAGGCGTGATGATGAAGACGAGGGCTATGGCCGCAAGAAACATGTGAGCATTTCTCTCTTTTCTCGGCCTTGTTTTATTTAACTTAAATGTCTTTAACAAGAAAAAAATAATATTTGTTGCAGTCAGCCTAAATGGTTCTATAGTTTAAATGCGATCAAATCTGATGCAATAAATATCCTGGTTTATAATCTAGCTTAAAGGAATTAGATGGCTTGTTTAGCTTCATTACGTCTCATGTTGTTTTTGCCTGGTTTGGGATTACTTTTTGAGAAAATGAAATCGATGTACGTACAAATCTGCTTTTAAAAAATGTGGTTGATGCTCAAATTGTTGGTGAGAAATATGTATTTTGTATGTGATGCATTTGCCATTTGCCGAGCAATTAAGTCTCTCCAACCCTACTCTCTTCCCAGCAATTAAAAAAGAGTAATTAAAACTAATGAGGAAAGAAAGTGTGGAGAACAACCTAGCAAGTGAGCTGTTGACTGCGTACTATGAAAATGGTGGATTATATTAGAACTCGCGTACTTGATAGAAGACTCAAGGTTTTGTTTATATATTTGGGTCTTGCTAACATAAGTTTGAGTGGATAGAGAGAACTTGCATACGAGGGTAACAATATAACACCAAATTATTTATTGAATTATGTGGTGCAGAACTTTTCATTTTTCTGATCTCGTCTTCTGCCATTTGCAGGGTGGTGAAAACTCTGACGAGGAGGAGGATGAGGAGAAGCGTCGCCACAGGCACCATCACCACCGCAAGCATTATGATGATTGAGCAAAACTATTATGGCCTTGTGAAGAGAATTCTTGCCATATTAATATATTAAATAAAGGGCAGGGTTATTTCCCTTCAAAGGAATCTTGTCATTGTGTTTAAGCATCTCTGTTTTTATGGGTTTGTTCAAACTAAGATCAGCAGCTTTGTATTGGCCTTGTTGGCCCAATTTGTGTGTGAAATCTTGTGCTTTTTCATGCTAATGAATTCCCTTCTATATGTGGGCAGTGTGTCTTAAATGCTTATCTGTTCGTTTGCTGATGTTGTTTACATACATAGTGCATCTTTATTCTATGTTAATTGCAGTGATTGTCCTTGTCGCTTTGGAAGCCTAAGCTTATGTTTATGATCTGAGATGCTGTTTGCTACTTGTAACTACTGAGCCTATATGCTGAAAATGGTTGTCCTCATTGCCTGTGAACTTTGTTTTGATTGCTTGGAAGTTGGAAGCAACTGGTGGAATACCATCAAATTCTTTTTTTTTTTTTTGATAACCGTGGATGTCCGGGCCAGCTTGCCCGCACCTCGACTAATTCCACAGGGCCGTGAAGTTTACGGTCGGGTACTCACCTCAGTGGCCCTGAGGGGACCCATCAAATTCTTATACCCCATCTTACTTTTAACTTTACTTATTTCCTTGGCTTCGGAAGTCTCGTCAATTTTTGTGAGACCTTGAATAGATTGGTTGAAGCTTTATTTCTTGTTTCTGGTCGGAATGTAACTAAACCTACTTCGGCATTGTGCTCTTGTTGCTGCATTCATTTCTAAGAATTTACATCACTTTTCTCATGCCATTGCCGCGTATCCTTTCCCCTGATGCGAGCTGGAATTCATGATTCTCATAAGAAGGGATCATAAAGAAAGGCCGGGATTTTCTCTTAAAGCTGATTTCCAAACTGTGACTGAAGTCAAAGAACGTTTGTGTAAAATCCGTCTGAATGCCTGCAACAAAGCCTTATTCTTGAATCAGACCAGTGCTGTGTTTCTATGGTGATTTTAAGGGTTCTGTGATATTTTATTGAGAGATTTGATTCAATCCTCTACAGCTGTGATTGCTGCAATAACCTTGTGATGCCTGTACTGATGTCTTTCTACTTTGTACAGTGTCATTTTTACTCTTAACTACATATTTATCCGAGGTGCATGTTCCTTACAAGCATATGTTACGTGACTGCAGACTTTCCTGTTGATAATGTAGGAGAATTCTGTGTTCTCATTTTTTTTCCAGGGGAGGAGTGATGTCAGTACAAAATGTCAAGAACGGAAGATAGGAAAAATACCTCAAGGTAAAAGTAAAACCAAGGCATGGAATGGCTAGGCCAGAAGCATAGAAACCCTCCTTTTAAACAGTGTAATCAACTACATAAATTTTCGTTCACCACATCACTTTGTTCATTGTAGATTTATTAAGAGATTTAAAGCAATTATCTTGAATATTAAATATAGCCCAACTTCCCAATATCAATATTGTAAAATAAGTTTAAAATAAATTTGAAACGGAAAAGACTCTTAAATGTATTGTACAATCTTATATCCAACAAAAATGTAACAACACTTCAATGCTGCACTCTACATTTAGTTGGAAGCTTATTGCAAATTATAAACAAAATATTTCAGAGAGAGGATCACTTCACAAACCAAAATTTTAATCTCTATTTGGGAGCATCAGCCACGTCTTCATTCGCTTCGTCCCCGTTTTGCAATGTTGCGAAAGAATCACAGGGCGAGTTTGCAGCTGTTACAGTACCTGTATTGTCATTATCCAGGTTCCCAAAGAGAGATGAAAATGATAACGGATTACAGGTAGAGCTCGCCTTTTTAAGGCCCTTTATAGCTCTCATTGCAGCAAGGGTGCTCCGGTATATATCTACCGTCTCCTCCCCGAGCGACAAGGTTGTTTCGAGGCAATCATTTGAAGAGTTACTAGGAACTGTGTCCATCTGATCTTGTGCAACCGAAGTTGACTCGACAACCTCGGCTTCTAGTGGGAAGAGGAGCTCAAGATTTTCCTCACACTCATGGACTAATCGCGTGAGAGGTTCAGTCGTGAAGAAGGGCTGATGAACAGCAAGCTGTGTAAAAGGTAGGCGTAACAATCCCCCGGTTCTTTTATCATATTTTTTCAAAATCTTAAGGAGACCTAATCAAATATGCAAAATACATTTCAGAGTTCCAATATTGTGCGAGTAAGAGCATGTTTGGCTAAGTTTTAAAAATATTGTTCACAATTACTAAGTTTGAAATAAATAAAATCTTTTATTGGCAAAGTTGGAAATAATAAGCAAGTCACTTATTTTCATAACAAGCCAAGAGTTAACTTTTTTTGCTTAAAAACTAAGAAAAATTTAACATATTCAAGCATGTTTGTGAAACAAAAAATTGCTAGCAACTTCTACTTTTTCTTTCAAGCTTAGCCGAACATGCTCTTAGTACAAAGAAAATCACGGTATATGAAGCTATATCGTTAGTTTTTCAGAAACTTAGAAACCGGGAACCACCACTCCCAGGTGCAACCTGTAATAGATAATCATATAGGAAAACAATAGTTAAGCAGCATCTTTACCAGCAAAATTAAGAGAGCTGTAATTTTTCAGAAGAACCATTTCCCCGTGAATGGCAACAAAGTCTCTACGTATGTCCATCATCTCTTCACTAAATTCAGTATCTGATCTGAAGACTCCGTCTCTACTGCCTTCTTCCTTCACTCTTTCAATTCTTTCCTTCAACTCCTGCAAAAATGGAAGGTGATGAATGAAGTGCCAAATCGACATATTTTTTCGGTCTCCACCACAATGATGCTTCCCATCTGATATGCTAACCAATAGATTATATTATCTACGATATTATTATTACCTTTCTTTTGCAGCCATTTTTACAGGAATGGAATAAACAAGGCTAAATAGAATTCTATAATTAAGATTTGAATTGACAAATAAACGACAAAAATAGGCAGAAGTTTGCAAAACTGATGAACCTTTGAGCACTAAATTTTACAAGTTTCCGTTCCTAAATACAGGTTAGCTATCATCCGGCTAACCTCATATCTGGGAATTTTATATTATCTGTTTCAGTGCTATTCTGAGTGCCTTAACAATAAAGTTAAGGCAACTACAGGTTACAGAAATGTATCAGGTTAATTTTTTCCTCCAAAAGAAAAAACGTATAATAGTTATGATGCACTCAAAGCACTCTGCTATAATGGAGAACCCTATGTCTATTCAATTAAGCACATGGGACACATTATCAGCAAAACCAATTATTTCTAATGGTGCGTGGCACCTTCAAGAAGATGTATCCACTTTCCGATAGTATCTTGCAAGAGAAGACTCCTGTATCACATAGAGCTAAATTGTACGCTCAAAACATACTGAAGAGTACAATGGACAAAATTTATTTCTTTTCAACCTACCAAACATGCCATGTGCATTCAGTAAGTTAAAACAGTTGAAAACCATCTGGTCTTTTAACAAGTCCGTGGTAAAAGTTTCAGTTGAATGTCTGGTTCCATGGCTTGCTTCAGCCACGGAGAGAGGACACCGAAAAAGAAAAGAGGAAGTACAAAAGAATCTTATGTTACCAATCATAGCTAGTAAGTGGTTAAAATATCCTATTTTGGTGCAAATGAAATATCAAAGATACTACATCACTACACAAACAATTATGGAATTTGCTGCTAATATACTATATTACCAACCTGCTTTGAACAGGACTGTTTTCCGATTGGAACGGATGTTAAACTACTTTCTGTAAATACCTAATTGGTCAGAACCAATAGACAATCCAATTGAGTGCTTGGGAGTTGGGAACACGAAATTGACTATAATATGTAAAAACACCCAACTCAAGGAAGTTTGCTGTTGTCTCCCCCATCACACACCCCAACCACTCTCGACCTCCACCACTCTCCCTGAAGCCCATTTATGCGCGTATCATTGGTTCCAAGCTCTGGTAATATAAACATATCCTATCACACATTTGATTACGCCAAAAAGATTATTTTGTACCATCCAACTTATCGTCTCCACTTAAGGTATGTTTGGTACAATAGACAAAATGTAGCTTATTTTTCAATCCACCTCATCAAGCAAACCATTAAATGTTATTACTTCATCTCCCTCCTATTTGAGCAACAATTATAAAGCAAAGAGTCTCCTCAAAAACTTTTATAATCTCGTGTCATCTCAATTGCTCCGATTTCTATATAGCTTCCAAATGAATCTGATCTGCCAATCTCTTATCAATATTTACTTCATATTTTCCACATTAACTATTCACATTCAAATAAGCCCATGTTTGACAGAGATTTTTTTTGGAAAGGATGAGCCTTTGAACAGTAAATTTTTGGAGAACATGTGGATAAAAAGTAGAGAATTTTTTTTGATTTAAGTGAATAAATATTTTATTTTGAGAATGTGTGGTTGAAAATGAGTACGAGAAAGAAAGTGTTTTGAGAGAATGGTTGTCAAACGGGGACTAAATATGTCAATTCTTTCTCGATTGTCTTCAATATTTCGATTAGAATTCAGCTCTATGGTACAACTTCTCCATTCTTTCAAGAAGCAGTGAATACACACACAACACTGAGAAAAAAATCAACGAGTTCTTAATCAATAAAAGACGCAGTTTCCTAACACTGAACAAATTTTCTGCTGTGACTTCAGCTACAAGATCAAGATACAAATAGTGTCTATTTATCCAACTTGAATAGGATTAAAATTGTAAAGACAATAAGAATAGAAAACAATTTCACAGACCAAATAACCCACCCCACAAAATAGATTCAAATAGTGTGCACAGTATAGTATTGATATACATGAAATCAAGAAATAACCTGGAAGCGGATGATGAATTCTTCCTCTTTATCGACGAAAAAATCGTTGAACTTTTCGAGTTCTTCGTTAAGAATCCCAACAAACCAATCATGGAGCTCGGCTGACGGCAACTGCGCCGCCAACCCATCTCCGTCCTTCGGCGGATCGGCTGCCGGGATATTTTTTAGG